GGGGATGAGGTCCTGCTTGGTCGCTAGGCAACCAAGCAAACACACAAGCAAATCATGGAAGGAGCCCACTGCTCAGGGACTGATCAATTATAAATATGATTGATAAATTATGAACATAGTTAAGGAGATTTAAATGTTTTTTTCTTTAACAGCAAGGCCATCAAAGCAATCAGAACTGTTTGAAAATTTGGAATTCATTTTTAACACTGAATCACACAGTGATGAGTGAAAGAACACACAATAAAATCTGTTGGGCAAGGTTACAGAGAAACATTTTTTGATTAAATGTTGATTCAATGAAGTGTCCTGACTGGAAGCAAAAATGTGCTTGAGAGGATTAAAATCTGTGACACTTAAAACAGAGTTACAGGGAAAGGATCTATTTAAGATTCAGCGTTTATTTCTTGGTCATGGTACTGTGTCAATAACACCTCAAAAGGCGCTTCCACATTTCTTGTTTTCTTGATAATGATGCTCCTACTCTCTTTCAGCTGTCAGCCTCTTATAGATTTCTGCTCCCCCACAAAATGGCTTTCATCATCTGAGCACAAATTCGCAATTTCCAAAAGCCTTGAGGGCTAGAATGATTCTCCGAGTCTCACCTCCTATGGACCTCATTGGGCAGGGTCCTCTTGGACGCAGTTCCATTCTGGTGCAGCAGGGGGCCATCCCGGACAGACAGGGGGAGGACAATGGTTTCCTGGGTTGCGGAAACAGCTTCCTCATTGCCGCCCTGCTGCCCGAGGTGTTGCTTGGCGTAGTCGAACCCTTGCACAGGCTGTGGGGGAAGCGCTTATAAAATCATACTTTTCCTGCAGTAGACTGAACATCGTAATATGGAAAATCCAACAACCACCCATCCGTGATGCAAACCAAATTCAACACATCTCTAGAATCTCACATGTTCAACCTTAGGCATCCAAATTTGTGAGAAGCATGGAAGGACTGATGTGTATGAGGCTGCTCTTCCTCCCTCTGTCCTATTTGTCCCTCAGCGTGACGCTTCACTTGTGTGTCCAACAGTCAGAGATTCTGCTTCTATTCTTAGCAGTTCAGTGAGCATTAAATTAACCTTGAACCAACCTGCTCTATAAGAAGCAAGGACATCTCCTTGAAAAAGGCCACTTTTGTAAGTGCTTTCAGTTTGCTCCTTCACGTCTCACTAACACGGACACACACCAGCAGCGATTGACTGATACCATCTTCTATCCACTGATCAAGAGAGACGCTGGATTAAGCCCTGAATGCTTCACACACTCTTTCCCTATTGGCTGTTATTGTGCCCCAGTGGATTATGGGACAAATGTGGTCTGATCTCCCTCCTGATCTCTGGCCTGCTTGCTGCTTTGACGTCAAAGGGGATAAGATTATCTCAGCACTGGGCATCACAATATCCCACGTGGGGCCTCGGCTACATAGGACAGACTACAAATCTGCAGCGAAGGCATGTGAGGCCTCAGGACGGGCCGCAAATGCGCAGCAAAGGCATGCAGGGCCTTGGCCGCCTGGGACAAGCTGCAAATCCGCAGCAAAGGCATGCAGGGCCTTGGCCGCCTGGGACAGCCTTCAAATCTGCAACAAAGGTATGCGAAGGCCTCAGGACACAGCAGAGGCAACAAAGGCATGCAGGGCCTCGGACGCCTGGGACAGGCTGCAAATCCACAGCAAAGGTATGTCACACTGACAGATACCTGGTACTCTGTCATCTTACAGGGAGCCTCTGCCCAGGATGCCATAGACTCTGCATTTTCCCTGACACAGCTCAGCCAATCTGAAACGTGTAAGCTGTGAGTGGTAGCGTAAGGGGATGTCAGCTCTGATACAGAGCGACACGTTGAGCTGGAAGACAGAAAAGGTTTTATTCTGGCTTCTCTACCAGAAAGCTAATCAGGATCACGCTGGAAAAGACAGCCTTGTCACTGGTCCACCACCGGATCACAAGCCAGTCAGAGCAAATCCTATAGCCATCACAGTACACTCACACTCAACGGCACAGGAGAGAGGTTGATATTGGGGGGACACAATTAATAATTTAAATACAATAGTCTGTTTATTGGGGGGATGAAGCCAGATTAAATATTGGGAGGGACAGTTCCCCCGGTCCGTAGGACTCACAGGATTGTAGGTTCAGGGTCTTGGATTGGGGTGTCATCAGAGTACATGTATATATCACGCCCCAAAAAGGCCTGCTTAAAACCAGGCTCCCCGATGTCCATTATAGATAGTACACAACATGAGTCACTCCAGCATCCGCCCAATCAGAAATCCAGGGTACCTGGTGGTAGAAACTGGCGTCCCTCCGATACGATGTCTAAACAAGCAAAAAGAAAATCCTGTTAGCAAAGAGAAACTACAACATTTTATACTAAAATGATCTGCAGAAAGAGCCATACCTTGGTACGAGGGTTCAGTTCCACCTTAAAATCCCCTCTGTTCCTCCGGCACAGCACAGCCGTGATGATGAGGACGATGACCATCACCACGGCGATGGGTACCAGCACCGCCGGGATGATCCAAAGGTTGCTGGGAGGGCTTTTCACCACAGCTGAGGAGGCACATGGCAAATCACATGAGTCAGTACTGCGGCCAGTCAGCTTTCATGGAAGAGTATGCCTTCTAACTCGTGATTGGTTAAATGCGTGTCTGTGTGTGTGCATGCGTGTGTGTGTGTGTGTGTGTGTGCGCGCACAGGGTCTGCAGAGAACGTACGCTCAGCCTGCAGCTGGACAAAATAGCCCAGCGTTAGGGCCATGGTCTGGGAGTCCACCGTGTTGAGGATCTTGGCGGCTGAGGTGCCCAGCAGGGGGCGGCCTTGCAGCTGGGCATAGTAGATCATCTCAGCGGGGTTTTTAGGCCCTGGGACCCGCCGGACTCCGACCATCTGAACCACAGCGCAGACCAGCTCATTAGCTACGGTTACACTTATGGGCTGATCATGTGACCACCACAGACAGCCCCCCCATGTACCGAAATGTCACAGCACTGTGGATACTTCATTGTGAAAATTTCCAGTGCCTAACCGCCCCCCATCTACACAGTTCCCCAAAATAGCCCTCTCTTGACCCCCCCAGAGTGCCGGCCCACCTGCACAGTGTATCCCCCAACGGTGGTGGCTCTCCGGAAGCGAGCCCCCTGTTGCTGGGCGATGACAAACAGCTGAGCCAAACGCTGTTCCATTAAGCGTGCAAAGTTCTGATAGCCGCCGTCCAGAGATGAGCTGTCGACGTATTGCAGCACTGCGGGGGCGTGGCCAGAGCCAGAGAGACATTACTACTGATCTCCATGAAGGGATCTGGTCCTTTAGCTCTTTCCATTGTCCTGAACCAACCCTAATGCAAACACCAACTCGGCTTGGAGCAATTCCTCTAGGAATTGACATCTGTTTTAGAAGTGACATACAAGTCAGAAAAATACTATCTTACAGATGCATGGCTGTCAAGGAGTCGACTAGACATAAGTACAGCTGGGCTGAGCTTCTGATGAACACCTAGGTACAAGAGTCAGCAGAACTGGACCAGAAGCTATACAACAACTTCTAACATGGCAAGAACCTAATAAGACAACTTTCAAATCACACACTAAGAGCATTCAGGGAAGAAAGTCAATGTATTCCTGGAACAGATAGAGCCGGCTTTTCCTAACTATAAGACATAAATAATAAAAGAAAGGACACAGACACAGTCCTGATAGAGGCTAATTACCTGTGATTACCCAGAAGTCCTTGGTGGCTATGGAGGTGTTCAGGTTGTGGTACAGTAATGCTGTAGAGAGTAAAAGAAAATAAAGCGTCAGACAAAGAAAAGGGTCCTCTGGAGGGCAGGCTGGATCTAGACGACCTTCTCGCTAGCAGGGGACGAAACTGTCAGTGACTGAGTGCTTGATGTCACTCAGCATTTACAGATCAGCTAGAACAGCACGGTGTAGCCAGCGGAAACATACGCTAAACGTTTACAGCGTCACTGGAGAACTAGCCAGACGAATCCCGGTCTCATCTGTCTTAGAAAAACTGCTAAATAAATGACTGGACGAAATGTACACAGAAAGGAATGAGTCACCGAAAGAATAATATGGTCATGGGAGTAAGATGGTTCACCGAAAGCGCCAAACGCATCAGAATCACGATGGTTTTATCCCTAGTAGTTACCTGCATCTGAGGAAGGGGCTCTCCTGCATAAATTATTTAATATGGTAATTTTGCATGCTATACTAAATAGTCTGGATTGGCAAGACGTCGTTTGTGAATATAAAGCTCAATCACAAATGTAAACAGAAGTAATAAGGTCTCATTTGCAAACTGATGAATGTGGGTCTACAAAATGCCACATGTTCCGAGGTATGCGACACTCGCGTCGCGACAGAGGGAGGCTTGGCAGCGTGCCATTGGCCAGTCTGCTGTCCACATAAGACCTACAGGAGGATTGTGGGTGGCCTGCGAGATGAGCAGATGCTACCGCTAATCGACAGAAGGCCAGTGACAAAATGCGGAGCGAGCGAGAGCAGGACGCAAGGAACGAGATCGGGCCTCAACCTCGAGGCAGCGTCACTAAGGAAACGGCACGTGTGACTGGACCCGCGGGGACACCCACGCTCGGCGATGCTCAGCGGAGGGTAGAACAGGAAGTAGCCGACCAGCTCAGCGCTGAGCTGCCCCAGGAGGCCGCTGGAGACGGTGCCGTTGAGGCTCTCGCTGCCATTCCTCACCACGTAGGTCAGTGCCACAGCCTGCGACAACGGCAGCTGCCAGGCAGCCAGGATCTGCAAGGACAGAGACACGGCTGGCCAATCAGAGACAGACAATGGGTGGAGGCGGTCTTCCCAAGAGGCAGCCTTCAAAAGAGGCATCTAAAAGCTTCAGAAACAGCTGCAACAAATAAAGTCTTTTTTTAATGAAGGGCATGTTCAAATATGTGTAATAACCTAAGGAAATATGATTTCTAAAAAGTGTTTACAAAATTGAATATTTTACAGCTGTATTCTAGTTCAGTTTCATGCAGATTTGCTGTTATTAAACCTTCCAGGTGATAAATAAGAGGCAGTAGGCTGGTGCAGAGGCAGCTCAGGACTAGGGTGGCTTTGGCTGAGCTTTCGGGGGGGGCGGGGGGGGTCAGGTACCTGAACAGAAAGCTTAGCAGAGCTATTGAGGACTTTGGACTGCGCCTCCGTAAAGACGCTCTCCAGCCTCTGCTCCATGCTTTGGACGAAAGCACAGGAAGTGATGTCATCGCCTGGGCCCACAAACCTGAGAACTGAGTTAACACAAGCAAGGTCAGGGGGTCACGTGTCTGCATACAGAGATGCGGAACTGTCCAGCTGTGCGGCGAATTCAGTGCCTGCAGCAGTGGAGCCTGGCTGATCATCAGCCATTTATCTAAGCATCTAAGAAAATCGGGACACCTGTCTTTATTGTCATATAACACGGATGCACATTATGAAAAAGTAAGTAAATTTATGCTTATCATAATCGTCAGGACAAAGACAGTGGGATGCCTGTACTGTATGTGTCTTGCGCCAGCTGACGCCACCCCGCTCTTACCTGTCTTCACCAGCAGGGCGGCGTCAGGCGGTGGCCTCCAGGGCTCGCCGGCCAGCAGTATGGCCTGCACCAGCGGTACTGCCTGCTTTACGTCCCCCAGCAGCCGGTCGGCGCCGTACGCGGCCAGGGCCTCCGCCACCGTGGACGCTGTGAGGACAGCGGAGCCGCTGACCGCGTAGTAACCCACGGTCACGTTCCATGTGCCGCTCACATTGCCGATCTGGGGGTCAAAGGTTCGGGCTTCGGTTAAAATGAGCATGATGACATAGAGCGACCCCTAAACTAAACAGGCCCAGCCTCAGAGGGCAATGCAGAGGGACATGTGCGTCACACAAAGATCATGGGCTTTACTGTAGATGTAGCAGTTTGATGAAAGTAGCAGTTTGATGAAAATAGTATTAAACACAAAACAGTCATATGCCTGAGAAAAGAACAGACAGCATAACTTGACGCAGCCATTTCACAGCCACTGATGGTCATTTTCAGATATTTCTCATTTGACAGGAATGGAAATACCCTAAATGTCCCTCATGTCCATAGCTGATAGTGATTGGTATGCTCCTTCTCCCCCTCCCCTCATTCTCTCCTCCTCTCTCCTTCTCCCCCTCCCCTCATTCTCTCCTCCTCTCTCCTTCCCTTGCCCTCCCCTATCTCCTCCTCACTCCTTCTCCCCCTCCCCTCTTTCTGTCCTCCTCTCTCCATTCTCCCCCCACCCTTTTTTCTCTCTTCCTGTTTCCAATACTCCCTCTCCCCTCTCTCTCTTCCTTTTTTCTTTCCTCTTCATTCATTCTCTCCCCTCTCCATCTCTCCTACTTCACGCGTTCTCTCCTCCTCTCTCCTTCCCTCCTCCTCCCTCTTTCATTCCCCTCCCCTCTTTCTTTCCTTCTCTCCTCCTCGCTCCTCTTCTCTGTGGTGCACATGCCCTGAGGCTCAGCAGCTCGGAAGGGAAGGCAGCATTTAAAATACCAATGAGGCAGTAGGAGCTCAAGGCTGGGGGGGGGGGGGTTGGGGAGGTGGCTGAAGTGTTGGCATTCATGCACTGTTCGGCCCCTGAGCTGTGCGATGCTGTGTGGGAGAGAGGCAGGGAGGGATCCACATGGCTCATAAATCCATGATAACATGAGAACCCTGTGGTCCATCTGACCAACATAACTGTGAGTCAGACCCTAACCCTGACCCTAAAAGGAAGAAGAAAACCCTCATTAAGTATAAAATACACCAACAACCTCTTAGGTACAAGACAAAAACATGCTAGACATCGTAATAAATAAATAAAATATTAATGCTATATATTCTGAGCTGTTCCATTTCAATATAAGCTAGTGAAGTAACTTGCTGGAATTCATTCTGGGCTATTTCTCCTCGTGATGCCCTCCCCCTCGCCAGGTCCCCGGGAGGCTGACCTGAGCCTGTACGGTGCTGAGATTCAGCGCCTTCTGCAGCGCACGGCTGAGCCCGCGCGGGAGGTTCTGTCTCAGTGCACCGTCCATCCTCTTCCCCCTGAAGTGGACGGACAGCACTGCGGGAGGGAGGAGGAGCCAGAGGACGTCAACGTTAGTGGCCAATGAGGAGGAGCCGCGGCACCACGTCACGGCCGGCCGGGGCGCCTCTCACCTGTCTTCACCCACATCTCCTCAGTGACGTTGCATTGCAGCATGGGACTCTCTGTAAGGGAGGAGTTGGACACACTGACTGTGGTCTTTGTGGGTGTGAAAGTCAGTGGTGTGGCACTTGTTGTGGTCTGCATGGAGGTTAAATCGGTTGTAGTTGTCTTCATAGTGGTTTTCTCCAAGACCTTCCCCTCAGTCCTGCTTGTGTGGGTCTGCGTAGTGCTGGCCAACCATGTCGTGGTGTCAGAGATGACGGTGGTGGTCCTCACGGCATCCGTGACTGCGGTCGTGGTCGTGATGGTCATGGTGGTCGTTTCAGGGGAGCCATCTGTCACGGTGTGTGGCGGCGCCCCAGAGGCATCTGTGGTTGTGGGGTCTACAAGCAGCGAATCGCTGGGGCCCATCGAAGCCAGGCCACGCTCCAGGTGGGTGGAATCCAGTTCGCTTGGCGAGGAAACGGGCGTCACTGTGGCCGGAGGCAAACCGGAGACCGCCGTCTCGTCTATGGCGTAGGGGCGAGAAGAAGAGCCACCATAAACATCACTACAGGTGCAAAAGGGAAGGGGAGAAGGAAGGCTGTAGCTGACCGATATGAAGATACGCTTGAAAGAGCGGGCATCTAGCCTGGAGTGTCTGTCAGTGGGTGAGGTGGGTCTAGGTCTGGGTGGATGTTCTATGGTTAGGTTCTGGGTGAAGTGGGTAACAGAAGGGGATTCTGGGTAAGTGTGAGCTGAGCCTGGGACAGACCTGAGCTGTAGGCGGGATACACGCTGGTGACCAAAGGGACAGAAGATTGAGCTCCCTTGAATGGCTCTTCTGAAGGCTCTTGGTTTGTTTGGTTTCCATTGTAATTGCCAGAGCCAGCCGGGGAGGCCAGTGTCTGCACTAATGTCTGGGGCCCTTCAACAGAGCCTGCCAGCATGGTGAGTATAGAGGCAAAGGCTGGCTCCTCGCGTAGGCTCTCTGCTGCCCCTGCTGGATGGACGCGGCTGCGGGCGAGCTGTCCCTCCTCCACCAGCAGAACGCCAGCCAACAATTTGGTCAATCCCGCTGATGGCGTGTAGTCAGGGGGGAGGGAGGTTGAGGCCGATCCCTCATAAGCACCTTCCCCTGGAAAAGTAGGAAGAAAACAGAAAGTGCTCAAACGTAGTCACTTCAACGCTCAGATCTGATCTGTCATTCCCCAATGCTAACGCCTACAATTACACGTTTCCATTTGTTCATGTTAGGTGTCAAAGCAGAATGGTTATGCTCCACTATGTGAGAGTTAAAAGCTCACATATGGCAGCAGTGACATTCAAAGCTCCAAAGCTGATTATTCACATATGGTCATGTGATGGAGCCGTACTGTCCACGAAAATAGTCTCAATAATATTTAGTATCTTGTCCACAGGGGTTTCTTGGAAGACACATATGTACTGTGAAATGGACAGGAACTGAACACTCGGTAATTCAGAGGCAGGTTGGGTTTCCACGTGTTTCACATTCACCGCCATGAGCCTGGCTGGCGGACAGAAGGACCACGCAGGGTTTGCTTTCAGAAGTTTGCTCTCAGGATGCAAAGTAGAATAATGCTGCGTCAGAAGATCTTCATTTCAAGAGAGACCACTGAGACCGTCCATCCTGCAGATCATCTGACACTAATTCTCGGTCTGTTAGCTCTTCTGTGACACCCTTGAAAACTAATACACTTAAAAAAACGTTGTGTTCCTCACTGGACCAGATGCTGTATTAAGAATGAGAAACCATGGAATGCACCTTAACTCAGACCCAGCTGAATCCAGCTTAATTATTTGTCCAGTGGGGTCCGTGAAAAGCTTACAGATGGAAGGTACTGAGCAGAATTTGGAGCAAGATTCAAGATTCAGGCATTTACTCTGATGTGCACAGGAAACAGTAGTTACACTACATGATGAGAATGAAACACAAATACAAATGAAGGTGCTTACAGTTAGACATAAAATATGTAAATACTGACAGATTAGTGCCAGACTAAAAGCGCACAAAATCATTTTTTAAAGTCAGTATATTCAGAATAAGTTAATATGTTTGATAACTGACGTATAACAGTTACTAGGCAGTTTTCATAAACTGGAAACATATAAAAGTATGAGTATTTAAGCATGAACAGCAGTTAAATGTGTCTGGTCTTGCATGCCTGGCTGCTGACTAAGGAGGAGAGAATCACGCTTGAAGCTCTACACAGATGAGCTCAGAGGATTAATGAAAATATCAGGACAAAGTGTAAAACTGCACTTGGCCCCTTCCAGCCGAATTTTGACAAGCAGCCTCGTTCAAATGGCCTATTTCCTTTGCTAAAATTGTGACTCAGTGATGACATTAAGTGCTATTATGAATACAATAAACTGTTTAACTACATCTGTATATTTGCATGAACGTGTAAGAACCACGCAGCCCCCCTGTGGATTTGCTGGGTAGTGCACAACTGTCCTTGAGCCACAGTGGAGTGCATTTTCAAAACATATTTCCTGTGGAAATTTACATAACTATAAATTTAACGTCTGTTCATGAGGCCACTGCCTGGAGTCAGAGACTATTCATTCTCATGATTCACTTCAGCATATGCTGTCAATAAATCATAAACTGCAGAAATCACTCGTTCAAAGACATCTCAAAACGATTATTCATAGTCAGTGTTATCATTCAGGAAGTTGAGGTCAGTTACTATGAATAAATCAGTACCATTTTCCCCTCCCCACGGTTCACTGACCACCCATTTACCAGAACTGGGGATTCAGGACAGGATACTGTGGAGAACCTGGAGTCAGTCCCAGGAAAGACATGGCACAAGGCGGGGATACCCAGGGTGGGCCATGCCAGTCTATCGCGGGACACACACACACACACAGGAGCTACGACGCTAACCAACAAGGCCTGCTGTTAGGCAACAGTGCTATCCAACGAGCCGCCACTCCACCCTGCTGTTACGCTTTTGCACTGACCAACGAGCTTCCGCTCGTCCCTGCCTTTATGCTGCCATTTCCATTACACTACAATACCGACAAGTCATGCCTTTATGCTACGGCGCTAACCTAAAAGCCACCGCCTTGCCCTGCCTTTATAATACGGCACTAACTGAAAAGCCACTGCTTTGCCCTGTCGTAACACTACTGTGGTAACCGACAAGCCACTGCTCCACCTTGCCGTTATGCTACTGCGCTAAGTGACAAGCTACCACCCTGCCCTGACATCATGCTATGGCGCTAACCGACAAGCCACGGCTCTGTCCTGCCATTTCGGTTCTGCGCAAACTGATATGTCTCCACCCTGCACTACTATTGCACTACATAGATAACCGGCAAGCCACCTTTCTGCCCTGACATCATGCTATGGCGCTAACCGACAAGCCACGGCTCTGTCCTGCCATTTCGGTTCTGTGCAAACCGATATGTCTCCACCCCGCACTACTATTGCACTACATAGATAACCGGCAAGCCACCTTTCTGCCCTGACATTATGCTATGGCGCTAAACGACAAGCCACGGCTCTGTCCTGCCATTTTGTCATTACAATGTCATTAGAGTCTATTTTTTCATCTAATGAAAGGACAGGTTGTCAGATTTAGCAATAGTTTATTACCCTGTATATGATACCGAATTTCTTGAAGTATTAGATAGTACATGACATCATTAATCCAGTGTTTAAATGTAGGTGGCGATTTGTCTTTCCATTTCATTAACATAATACGTCTGGCAGGTAGTGTTGCAAATGCCATCACTGTTTTACCCCAGCTGCCTATGCGATCTTCTTCTGGTGTTAATCCAAGGATGGTTATGACAGGGGATGGCTCAATATGAGTATCATTTTCACTTGAACACTTTATTTTTGTTTTCGTGTAAACAGTGATTCGTGTCATTTACTTAGCTTTAACTTTAGCTTAGCGTTTTGTAACTTTTGTTGAAAAATATGTGCATGCACGTATATTGTGTCAATTGCGAGTAGATCATAAAACGAGAGTTATCTATAGGGGGAACATACGTCTGGGTGTCCCTGGATGCGAATTTTCGTTTTACAGGGTACTTGGGGTGGTTAGAGAAAAGTCATTAATATTCAAGTGAAGCGCTACCTGATAGGGTGGTGAACGTGAAAACTCATTATTATTCGCAGAGAAGCGCTACCTGATTGGATGGTGAACGTAAAAACTCATTAAAATTCTGATCCCCGGGAACGTCCTCTTTTTCATCTCACCACATATGGTAACCCTACCGACGAGCCACCGCTCCGCCCTGCCCTTATGCTACGGATGCTACGGTGGTAATTACCAACAAGAATTTAAGTCTTTTAAATACAGAGGACCCAAGGCTTATCTTCATACTGCGCAGATAAGAAAAACATTCATACCTCCAGTAAAATACAAACAGCCACCTCAATGACACCCTTCCAGACCAGTCATAACTTTGCACATTAAATCATTTTATCTTAATATTTTTTGTAGTGTAGTGTTCTCTACAGAGCAGAAATTCATAAATGTAGAGCAGGCAAAATACATGACTGTATGCTTACATACAGGCCCTAATCTGTTAATGCACCGTGTTTAATTGAGGAAATTACTTTTAGTAAATCAGTTATTAAAGAGATTAAAAGGTTCAGTCTCTTTTTCATGATGCTTTTTCCAATGCAGGGTAACAGGGAGCCTGGATCCTATCCCAAGATACAGGGCACAGGGTGGTGCACTTTGGATGGCAATTAAAGATGCCAGTTTCCTAAAGTGGCATGCCTTGGGACTGCGGGAGGAAACCCACAGAGACCAGGCAAAGATCACACGCACAGAGCCTGGACGAGAATCGAACCCAGAACCTTGGATGGATACAATGTTCACCATCATACGACTGTACAGATAAATAAATAAATACAGAATAACAAACAGTTCAGAAAAGATGGAAGGACTATTTTCATGGGGGAAAAAAAATCATTTTTCAGCAGTAAGGTTGCTCAATAAACATAGATCTTTGTAATCATCTCATCCAGTAAGCAAAGATCTGTTCAATAAGCCTGTCCAATAAATAACAGTCTGTGCAATATGTTCCCCCAATAAGCAAAGGTCTGTGCTCTAGGCTTATCCAATAAATAAGAGTTTGAACAATATCCTCATCCAATAAGCAGCAGTCTATGCTGAATGCTTGTCCAATACATAAAGGTTTTGGGCAGTATGCTCATCCAGTAAGCTATGGTCTGTGTTGTACCCTATCCAATACATAAGGGTTGGGCAGTATGCTTGTCCAATAAACAAGGGTTTCAGAGGTAAATTCATCCAATAAGCAGGAGTTTGGTAAGCATATTCATCCAATAAGAAAGAGACTACAAATTAAGCTTAGACTCTCTTATTGCTCTCTACAAATGAATTAAAAGTGACCTGTTCGTTAATAAAGCAATAGACAGGAAGCACACAAATTATCAGGCTATTTTGACACCAGGAAATATTAAAGCTCAGTGCTAAAGACATTAATAAAAGGAACATACACATGATGTATGAGGTGGCATCAACTGGATTTACGACACCTTTGATTGCAGCTCCTATTAAGGAGACAGACATGCACAGAGTAAGAGTCTTCGGGTTTAGATTTTTAACTATTTATAGCTGTCAAATGCAGCTTTAGACCTGCCACATCTCCCAAGATGCATCAGCAAAAGCCCATCCACAACCCTCCATAGTAAGAATGCTATTCACCAAGCCCTTTGTCTGTTGGCCACACCCACCATACCACATGCTCACCAAGCCTGCCATCATTGCCAACCACACCCAGACTGTAGGATGTGCAAGATGTATAGGCCCCCAGCAAACATCTGCTCCTGGTTCATTGAAATGCGGAGCTTCTCACCCACTTATTAACCGCAAGCAAACATTTACCCACCAACAGAAGATACATAATGAACTTCTCCTTGCCTGATCAACATGCACAAATTGCGACGACTCATTTATAAACAGGAAGCGTGCAACAAATCATTTGATCGTCCCCTACCTATGGAAGAGGTCGCTGTCCCGCCTCACTCTGCTCTTGGCTGAATATAAACCGTGTCTGAACTGCTGGAAGCAATCCCCAGAGTCGGCTCACGTTACGGAATCGGGGACACGCCACAGGTGGGGCTGA